CATGGCACACATATGTACGATAAAGCACCTAAATTACTGGGAACGGTTGAAGTCCCTTGATTTGTATTCCCTGGAACACTGGCGAGAAAGATACATGATAATATGAACTTGGAAAATTCTAGAGGGATTAGTACCAAACTTGCACACGAAAATTGCTCCATATGAAAGTTAAAGACTCGGCAGGAGATGCAACATTCCCCCACTGACAAGCAGGGGCGTCACAAGTACACTAAGAGACGACACAATAAGTGTCAGGGGCCCAAGACTGTTCAACTGCTTCCCAGCATACGTAAGGGAGATTACCAATAGACCCCTGGCTGTCTTCAAGAAGGCATTGAAAGTAGGGTTATATCTTTTTTACAATGTAATATTCCTGTACCTTAATCATCAAAGAGATGACCTTTCATTTCAATATCTTTTTAGAAAATGTCGCCCCTAAATGAAGAAAACGAGTAACAAAACAAGTAACTTGAATGCATATTGCATGTAATATTAATAACATATTGTACATACATTACTACTTATTGCTTCGAGTAAACTGAAGTTTCAGTTTAGTTTTGTTTCTGCAGGCAGCATACTGCTCCTGCATAACTTTGATTGCATGTTCAGCACACTGATTATTTCCTGGTATATTGAGTGTGGACGGCTCCTGCTTCCAGTGATTTTTCAATGAGTTCAGTGTTTTTTTTTTTTTTTTGTAAGGTTTCACTATTTCTGACAAATTTACTATTTCTGAGAAAGTCATTTTCATCGTACATCTGATCATCTGTCCAGGTGTATGAAATGAATCTGCATATCTTCTCCAAAGTCTTCCGTCTTGTAGGTATAAGAATGAATGCAAGAATAGCATTCCATAAATTGTATTCATCAATAACTTTTGCCATTACTTCAGCAATAGTTTCAGCCTTGCCATCTTTCAAATGCGGTGCATCCGGTTTTACTTTGGTTCTTTAATTTTTAAGTACTAATACCTGATACTCAGTGACATGAATGTCAAATATTGACAATAAAACCCGCACTGTTAAGCTATACCTGTAAATATATTGTCTGACAAGCGGTGCTCACTGATACACTCTGAAATACAGAGAGAAAATGAAAACAACAACAACAAACAAACAAACAAGTTCAGGTAAGATCCCAATGGTATGAGCGGTGAAGATGGGACAGATGAAGAATAGCTCTGGAGAGGAGTGTTCTTAGTCATACAAATAGAGCCGGGGCTTAACCCAGCAGCTTAGGCGATTGTGGGGCAGACTTGAGAACAGGAATAGCAGGGACTGTTGCATCGAACTTGTGGTAGTTGAAGTCTTGAATCTTGAGTAACTGGCAGCAGGCTAGGTCACATCAGAGGGTAGAACACATATGGGAGTTATAGGAGTAACTGAGGAGGCAGGTTAGCAATGGAGCCATTTTCGAACTTTTTGAAGCTGCTCCTAGATAGGTGGTATAATTTAGCCTTGTTGCTGAAGGTGAAACGTAGAGGCTTAATGAATTCAAGAACTTGGGTGAGTGTGAAGTGAAGCGGTAATTCACAGGCATATTTAACTGTTCCAGCACCGAGGCTTTTGTAGAGTTCAGTACAACATGGCAGGCATGTTGTTCAGACGGAATAGTTCGTTAATAGTGGTGTTGAAAGTGCCGGGGTTTGCTGCGTTTGCAAGGTGTGCATACACCATGCAGTACAACACCTTGGAGGAAGCACCGTCGGGGAGCGGAGAGAGGGAGTTACTGGGCGATGGTGCCTGTAGATTAGCGTGTAGAGTCTTGGTGGTGTCGGTTTGTGGTTTAGTTATTGCAGCGTATGTCGGTGAATTGGAGGTGTTCTTCAGAACTTTAGTTTTCTTCAATATGATTTCTTTCCTGAGTGGGCACTTAGCTGCAAGGGTATGTCTTATGCAGTTAAGACATGTTGGTGCTGTAGCAATAGTGCAGGATCTAAAATTGTGTCCATCATTCCCACATTTTGAACAAAACTTCTTATCCTTGACGGGGCAGTCCTTGGTGGTGTGTTTATAGGAATAGCAGGTCCAGCAGTGGGAGATGTATGTGAAACGTTCTTGTTCTATATGACTTGGGTTAATGTGGTAATATGAGATGGCCAGACCGTCAGAGAGAGATTGGGCAGCCATGGAGATGTCTGAGAATGTAATCTTTAGCATAGATGAGGCGTTAGGGATCTTGAAGATGCTGTCTACCGAGGCCCAGATGTTTTGTTCCTCAATAGATGTCTTCAGTGCTTCAGTAGAGAGAGAGGTGACGATATTGTCCAGTCTTTTCACAAAGACCGAACGTTTCGACTTCAAGAATGGAGACGGGGATAGAGTGAATTGTTGTGTTTGTAGGATCCTGATTGAAGAGTCGTCCATTAGTTTTGATGCTTCAGTGTCGTCTGTGCAGACGACAATGGGGTCCTTCAGAGAGTGGATTGCCGTAAATTTGACTTGCAGGCAGGTCCTAACGGCGGTAGCTAAAGTTAGCTTCGAGGAGTCATTTATTGCACCATTCACAGGCTTGATTTTTACACGATGCGACAGCATTGTGAAAACGTTTGTAGAATATAAATTCCCCACCCCGGTGAGGTCAAAGGGAGGCTTCTTGAGCGTAGAGAAACTGTGATCGGACGATGATAACAACAATAGTAGACGCCAGTACATAGAGTTGCCAATTGGTAATTTTCTGAGTTGCTACTTATGATTAGTATAGTAAATATACCTGGAGTTTACGTGGGGAGAGGGTTTCGGGGGTCAACGCCCCCAAGGCCTGGTCTGAGACCAGGCCCCAGACCTGGCCGTGGGGGCATTGACCCCAGAAGCCCTCTCCAGGTATATTTACTATACTAATCATAAGAGTAAAGAGGCCTGAGCTTGCTACCACCTGCAGCTCACGAGACTGCCATCCCCACGAGCCTATTTGGGGGGGGGGCAGATGGCAGACCAGAGGCCTAGCTTTTCCCTACGAGTCGACATGACTCAAGAAATCGTTGAAATATGGTGTAGAAATATACCTAGTTGGATGAATCTTATTGTGGCTAGCTGGTCTAGTGGCTAACGCGACGGGCTGGAGTTTTGAGACTCTATGACCGCGGGTTCAATCCCGGCCGGGGGTATGGGGTATGGTTTCCCTACGAGCCCCGTGAGGGCGGGGACTGTGACTAGGCCTGGGGACAGTTGGTCCCAAAGATGAGGGGGTACTTATACCTCCTCCCATGGGAGACTTAGGTCTCGAGATACTCCCCAGACAGGGAGCCAAGGCCGGGTCACCACTATTGGAAAAGACCCGGGCCGGGAGAATACCGGCTAATAATAATAAAAAAAAAAAACTAATCGTAAGTAGCAACTCGGAAAATTACTAATTGGCAACTCTATATTGCCAGTTAGTACTTTCCTGAGTTGCTATACCTAGAAGTAGTTTTTTTTTTTTTTTTTAGATTTTGCCACCGAAGTGGCTAGTGTATTGTGCACTCCATATCCATCCTGTGGACGGTAGTGCAAGAATATATGGATACACAAAAAGACCTAGAAACTAGGCCCCAAAAGGGTTAACAGGTGTACATTTGGATTTACATCTACAGTTAATTTATCTGTTACAAGCGAATATAGAAAATTTGCTTAGTATATCTGGTATCTTATTTTCATTAATAAGATATCTTGACATGTCACATTGGTTATTATACTGTCTGTCTCTGTATTTAGAAACGCAGATATATGGTGATTCATAGTGTTTATTTAGGGGTGACCATTTTTAAAAACTGAGAGGAATTAGGAACTTTTTCATTGTTTTTAAGCAAAAATTCATCGATTTATGACACAGGAGATGTTTTATTTGGAAAAAAAAAGTTGTAAAGTAAAAGGACACAAGTGCAACTAATGTGACATTTATTGTGGCAACGTTTCGCTCTCCAGGAGCTTTATCAAGCCATTATCAAGCTTGATAAAGCTCCTGGAGAGCGAAACGTTGCCACAATAAATGTCACATTAGTTGCACTTGTGTCCTTTTACTTTACATATTGTCGGTAATTCTACCAACTTTATTACAAAAAAAAAGTTATAACCGTATTGTACAGTACCTGACCAGCCAGGCTGTGGTTCGTACGTCAGTTTGCGTGCGGCCAGAAGTAACAGCTTAGTTAATCAGACTGTAATCCACCACGAGGCCTGGTCTCAAACTGAGCTGAGGGGGCGTTGACCCCCGAAATCCTGTGCAGGTATACTCCAGGTATCTGATGAAAACCTTAGTGAAAGATGATCCAGAGGGTTCAGGTGAGTGCAAAGTTGTTGGATATTGCTGTGATCATAGTCAAATTAACTTATGAAAATTACATGATCCTTATATTGATGTACACACTGTAGAGAAAGAATAAAAAGACACAATAATGTGACTGGAACAATGCACATACACCAGCACATAGTAGATTGAAACTTAAGACAACGTTTCGGTCTGAAATGAATCATAAACTAGTCAAAAGTTTGTCTTGTGTGTGCTGGTTATGTACACTTATACAGCACGGTACCTATATAGCCAGGGCAGTTGATCATTTTTTCTTCTGTTGTAGTCTTACCTGCATTATTACGGTGGCCCGTGGCCTGGTGGCAAAGCTCTCGCTTCACACTCCGAGTGTTCGGGTTCGATTCCCAGCAAGGGTAAAAACATTGGGCGTTTCCTTACACCGGTTGTCCATGTTCCCCATCAGTAAAATGGGTACCTGAGTGTTAGTCGACTGGAATGGATCGCATCTCAGGACAAAATTGATCTAATTTGCCTAAAATACTCAGCATAACAAGCGGTTTTATATATAGTAGTATGTCACTGATGTTAGCTAGGACTGTATACTCTAAACACGTACTTGTAGAAATAAAAATTTCATTATTATTATCTTTCGAGCTCTTCTCCATGGATCAGACACAAGATGGTGAACTTTAATAGTGTGATGATTACAGTCAACATATGTAAAGTATTTTGGAATGGTAAAACTGCTTTTTTTATATGCAAGAATTTTTCAGTGCCTTTACTGGAGCTCTGGGAGATTTTCTGGGTCAACTTATAACAAAACAACCCTCTATCAATTACTGCAGCATAGCAAGATATGCAGGATATGGGTAAGTAAGACATACCTTGTTACATGTGTTGTATTAAAGGTAAAAACTAGAAAGGAGACTGTAATTATAATTTTGTTATTTACTCCAGTAATATGTCTTTTAAATTTAATGATATTAAGTACAGTTTTCATTTATATGTACAATGTTAGCACCTCAAAATTTTATGGAGGTTCCACTCTTATGGGTTCCACGAAAAATACAGGATTACGTCTGCATAATAATTTTGTAAGGGTTAAGCTCATTTTGTGATTCATACATCGTATATCTTCTCTTTAAATCTGGCTGCACTCTGGTTAATATTATATTGACATTTATGAAAATAACCAGTTAAGGATCCAAAAATGAGCAGAACTTGAGAATGCTGGAAGATACTGTGTTTGCAAGTTACTCATTGTTAAAAATGTTAGTCAAATTTTTTTAATTAGGAATCCTATGAATTTAAGGGGCCAATTGCCATAATTTCATTTTTCAGTATAAAATTAGGCCATCTTAATATTTATGTAATCTTAATCTTTATATAAAGTAAGGAGAAATGCCATACAAGGAGGATCATGGTAGGACTGTCTTCAAGAATTTCTGATGCTCATTACTTGAAATAATTTTTATACACTAGGTTCGTTGTGACAGGACCACTGGCACATCACTTTTACAAGATGCTGGACAAAGTGGTACCAACCACAGCATGGGGAGCAGCCTTCAAACGCCTCTTGATAGACAGACTCATGTTCTCTCCTCTCCTACTCCTACTTTCCCTATACTTACTCTCCAGACTTGAGGTTAGTTGGACTCCAAATCTGTGTTGAGGTGCAATTAAGACTGAAAATTTCCCTCCTTTTATTTATATAACACAGTGCAATATTTCTTATGATAACCATTTTTAAAATAACATGTACTGCACTGTGTTTAAGTTCTTCCTCACATGTCCACTTCTGAGTCCACTGGTCTTCAAAACTTTTGTTATGCAATGTATCCAAAAGAAAAATTACTGTATATTTAATATTTCTACCCAGGGAAAGAGCCACCGAACATGTGCAAAAGAGGTTCAGCTCAAATACTGGGCAGCACTTAAGATGAACTGGAAAGTGTGGACTCCAGTTCAATACATTAACATCAACTATGTCCCACAACAGGTATACATATATCACAAGATAACTGTATTAGGCCTTTCATAAGTATTTTAAAGTGCATATATTTCAATGCTAGATATTAAACAAAATATCAGAGAAGGTGATCATGGTGTCATTTTATGTGTTAATAATTTCTGTACACATATCAAAAATCAATTAATCATAAAAGCTAACATTAAACTACAAAATCCATTCCATTTCCCAGAAGCAAAATATGCCTAAATAGTGTTGAAATTCATTAGAAATTGGAGCTAAGAAAAAATATGCAAGGTCTAGTATATATGGTATACTGAGACTGATTTAATAAAAAACGCCAGTATGGTTAATTTTAATTTTGCCTCAAGAGCACTAGGCTGAAAATTTATGTATTTATATTTACTTAAACATTTTTTTCTAAAGGTGTTAGTATTGAAACTTTTAAAAACAGAACTAAATAGACTGAGAAATTAAGAGTTTGTGCAATTATTAGCTTAGGTTGTGGACTCCTAAAGAGAATATCACATAGGTCATGGCAGCTAAATATGACTGAAAAAATACTGAAAAAGACAAAAAAAAATTACTGAGTTGATCAAGTAGAAAACCAAGATTCTTAGATCAATAAAGAGGCCCATTGGATATTCATTATTGTCAAGAGCTGAATAGATGGAGTCTAGTATCTTACAGACAGCCTGTATGATATATTTTAATGACTTCATTACTATCTATCCACAGTACCGTTCACTCTTCGCTAATGTGGTTGCCATCTTTTGGATCATATACTTAACCAACAAGCGAAGACAAGCTGCTACTTCTGCTAAAAATTCATAAGGTTCTGCAAGACCTCAACAAACCTTCATTCAAATGTCCTTAAAATGGAAATGGTTTAAAGATAAGTTATATGAAAATTAATAAGGTATGTTTAATAGTCATTTTAAAATAGTAAACTTTATATATAAATAATATATATGAGATAACTCCATGGGGAAGTGGAACAGAATTCTTCCTCCATAAGCCATGCATGTATGTCGTAAGAGGCGACTAAAATGCCGGGAGCAAAGGGCTAGTAACCCCTTCTCCTGTATATGTTACTAAATTTAAAAAGAGAAACTTTTGTTTTAGTTTTTAGGTCACCCTGCCTTGGTGGAATATGGCTAGTTTGTTGAAAAAAATATATGATGTAACTATATACAGTGGAACCTTGGTTCTCGTGATTAATTCATTCCAGAAAGTTTGACGAAAACCGAATTGTACAAAAACTGAAGCAATATTTCCTTTAAAAAATAATGTAAATCCAATTAATTCGTTCCAGACACCCCAAAATATTAACAAATATACATTTTATGAAGAATAACTATAGTTTTACATACAGAAAACAATGAAAAATAAATATAAACAACTAATGAAATGGATAAATGAACATTTAACATCAATTTTACCTTTATTGAAGACTCTTGTTAGCGTATGGAAGACGGTGAGGAGGGAAGAGGGAGGAGGAGAGGTTATTGTTTGGAAAGGGAATCCCCTCCATAAGGACTTCAGGTATCAAGGCCCCTTCTTTGTGTTTTACTGGCACTAGGACTAGCTTGAGAGTCATTGGACCCCTGTCGCACGAAAACTGTCCGGAGAGATCTGTTCCTGGCGTCTCTTGAAGATTTGCCTATAATGGGACAAGGCATTGTCATTGAACATGTTGCAGACACGGATTGCAACACTTTCGTATTTTGCTACGAGTTCTTTCTTGAATTCCATTGTGTTTCTCGCCTTCTTTATCAAAGGAACTCTCTTTGGCCCCATGGTGGCTCGTTTAGCAGTTGCACTCAATAAACAAGCATAAAAACAATGGATTATTATGAAATGTTTTGGATGAATGTGAGGGGTAATGCCCACTCAACGAGAAGCAAAACCAGACTGAGTCGGAATGAGTGGGAGGATTTGCATGGGCACGGGCAGGCGGACAGGTTTGGTAAAGCGGACCATTGTCAACTCTACAAAAACTGAGCGGATGTACGAAAACTGGGACAAATTTTTCGTGAAAAAAGTCGTCGAAAACCGAATTCTACAAAAACCAGGGCATACGAAAACAAAGGTTCCACTATATTGTATGCTAGTTTCCTGTAAATGAATGTAACTATCCCTGCTTGTGAATGTAAGGATGCTTAACAATTTAAGTTAAGAATCATGGTAGTAAACTTTTTATGAGTTTAAGTTAAAACTTGGCGATCTTAAAAAGTTCAAGTAACACTATTATGGAAGGTCTACCGGAAGTTCACGTGAGAGCATGATAACTTCACTGGTGCGAGCAGTCGACATCCAGGCAAAATGTAATGGTACACAGCATGTTATATGTCTCGTGCAGCATGGTATGTGTCATGCAGCATGGTATGTGTCTCATGCAGCATGGTATGTGTCACATGTAGCATGGTATGTGTCTCATGCAGCATGGTATGTGTCTCATGCAGCATGGTATGTGTCTCATGCAGCATGGTATGTGTCTCATGCAGCATGGTATGTGTCACATGCAGCATGGTATGTGTCTCATGCAGCATGGTATGTGTCACATGCAGCATGGTATGTGTCACATGCAGCATGGTATGTGTCACATGCAGCAGGGTATGTGTCTCATGAAGCATGGTATGTGTCTCATGCAGCATGGTATGTGTCTCATGCAGCATGGTATGTGTCTCATGCAGCATGGTATGTGTCACATGCAGCATGGTATGTGTCACATGCAGCATGGTATGTGTCACATGCAGCATGGTATGTGTCACATGCAGCAGGGTATGTGTCTCATGAAGCATGGTATGTGTCTCATGCAGCATGGTATGTGTCTCATGCAGCATGGTATGTGTCTCATGCAGCATGGTATGTGTCTCATGCAGCAGGGTATGTGTCTCATGCAGCATGGTATGTCTCATGCAGCATGGAATGTGTCTCATGCAGCATGGTATGTGTCTCATGCAGCATGGTATGTGTCACTTGCAGCATGGTATGTACCGTGCAGCATGGTATGTCACATGCAACATGATATGTGTCTTATGCAGCATGGTATCTCGTGCAGCATGGTATGTGTCTCATGCAGCATGGTATGTGTCACTTGCAGCATGGTAAGTGTCTCGTGCAGCATGGTGTGTCACATGCAGCATGGTATGTGTCTTATGCAGCATGCTATGTATCACATGAAGCATGGTATGTGTCTCGTGCAGCATGGTATGTGTCTCATGCAGCAGGGTGTCTCGTGCAGCATGGTATGTGTCTCATGCAGCATGGTATGTGTCTCATGCAGCATGGCATGTGTCTCATACACTATGGTATGTGTCTCGTGCAGGATGATATGTGTCACATGCAGCATCGTATGTGTCACATGCAGCATGGTATGTCTATCATGCAGCATGGTATGTGTCTCATGCAGTATGGTATGTGTCTCGTGCAGGATGATATGTGTTACATGCAGCATGGTATGTGTCACATGCAGCATGGTATGTGTCTCATGCGGCATGGTATGTGTTTCGTGCAGCATGGTATGTATCACATGCAGCATGGTATGTGTCTCGTGCAGCATGGTATGTATCACATGCAGCATGGTATGTGTCTCGTGCAGCATGGTATGTGTCTCATGCAGCAGGGTGTCTCGTGCAGCATGGTATGTGTCTCATGCAGCATGGTATGTGTCTCATGCAGCATGGCATGTGTCTCATACACTATGGTATGTGTCTCGTGCAGGATATGTGTCACATGCAGCATCGTATGTGTCACATGCAGCATGGTATGTCTATCATGCAGCATGGTATGTGTCTCATGCAGTATGGTATGTGTCTCGTGCAGGATGATATGTGTTACATGCAGCATGGTATGTGTCACATGCAGCATGGTATGTGTCACATGCAGCATGGAATGTGTCACATGCGGCATGGTATGTGTCGTACAGCATGGTATGTGTCTCATGCAGCATGGTATGTGTAACATGCAGCATGGTGTCACATGCAACATGGTATGTCTCATGCGGCATGGTATGTCTCATGCAGCATGGTATGTGTCTCATGCAGCATGGTATGTGTCTCGTGCAGCATGGTATGTGTCTCGTGTCGTATGGTATGTGTCTCGTGCAGCATGGCATGTGTCACATGCAACATGGTATGTGTCTCGTGCAGCATAGTATGTGCCACATGCAGCATGGTATGTGTCGTGCAGCATGGTATGTATCTCATGCAGCATGGTATGTGTCACATGCAACATGGTGTGTCTCATGCGGCATGCTCTGTGTCTCATGCAGCATGGTATGTGTCTCATGCAGCATGGTATGTGTCTCGTGCAGCATAGTATGTGTCTCGTGCAGCATGGTATGTGTCACATGCAACATGGTATGTGTCTCATGCAGCATAATATGTGTCACATGCAGCATGGTATGTCTCATGCGGCATGGTATGTGTCTCGTGCAGCATGGTATGTGTCTCGTGCAGCATTATATGTGTCTCATGCAGCAGGGTATGTGCCACATGCAGCATGGTATGTGTCACATGCAGCATGGTATGTGTCACATGCAGCATGGTATGTGTCTCATGTGGCATGGTATGTGTCTCGTGCGGCATGGTATGTGCCACATGCAGCATGGTATGTGTCGCATGCAGCATGGTATGTGTCACATGCAGCATGGTATGTGTCTCATGTGGCATGGTATGTGTCTCATGCAGCATGGTATGTGTCACAAGCAGCATGATATGTGTCACATGCAACATGGTATGTCTCATGCGGCATGGTATGTGTCTCATGCAGCATGGTATGTGTCTCATGCAGCATGGTATGTGTCTCGTGCAGCATAGTATGTGTCTCGTGCAGCATGATATGCGTCTCGCGTAGTATGGTATGTGTCTCATGCATGGTATGTGTCACATGCAACATGGTATGTGTCTCATGCAGCATAGTATGTGTCACATGTAGCATGGTATGTGTCTCATGCAGCATTGTGTCTCAGGCAGCATGGTATATGTCTCGTGCAGCATGGTATGGCATGGTATGTGCCTCGTGCAGCATGGTATGTGTGTCATGAAGCATAGTATGTGTCTTGTGCAGCATGGTATGTGTCTCATGCAGCATGGTATGTGTCTCATGCAGCATGGTATGTGTCTCATGCAGCATGGTATGTCACATGCAGCATGGTATGTGTCTCATGCAGCATGGTATGGGTCACATGCAGCATGGTATGTGTCTCGTGCAGCATGGTATGTCACATGCAGCATGGTATGTGTCACATGCAGCATGGTATGTGTCTCATGCAGCATGGTATGTGTCTTGTGCAGCATGGTATATCTCTCGTGCAGCATGGTATATCTCGTGCAGCATGGTGTCTCGTGCAGCATGGTATGCGTCACATGCAGCATGGTGTCTCATGCAGCATGGTATGTGCCTCATGGAGCATGGTATGTGTCTCATGAAGCATGGTATGTGTCTCATGCAGTATGGTATGGGTCTCGTGCAGCATGGTATGTGTCTCATGCAGTACGGTATGTGTCTCATGCAGCATGGTATGTGTGTCGTGGAGCATGGTATGTGCTTCGTGCAGCATGGTATGTGTCTCATGCAGCATGGTATATGTCTTGTGTAGCATGGTATGTGTCTCATGCAACATGGTATGTGTCTCATGCAGTATGGTGTGTGTCTCATACAGCATGTTATGTGTCTTGTGTGGCATGGTATGTGTCTCATGCAACTTGGTATGTGTGTCATGCAGCATGGTATGTGTCTTGTGTGGCATGATATGTGTCTCGTGCAACATAGTATGTGTTATGCAGCATTGTATGTGTCTCATGCAGCATTTTATGTCTCATGCAGCATGGTATGTGTCTCATGCAGCACGGTATGTGATTCATGCAGCATGGTATGTGTCTCATGCAGCATGGTATGTGTCTCATGCAGCATAATATGTGTCTCATACAGCATGGTATGTGCCACATGCAGCATGGTATGTGTCTCATGCAGCATGGTATGTGTCTCATGCAGCATTGTATGTGTCACATGCAGCATGGTATCTGCCTCATTCAGCATGGTATGTGTCTCATGCAGCATAGTATGTGTCTCATGCAGCATGGTATGTGTCACAAGCAGTATGGTATGTGTCTCATGCAGCATTGTATGTGTCTCATGCAATATGGTACGTGTCTCATGCAGCATGGTATGTGTCTCATGCAGCATGGTATGCGTCTCATGCAGCATGGTATGTGTCTCATGCAGCATGGTATGTCTCATTCAGCATGGTATGTGTCTCATGCAGCATGGTATGTGTCTCATGCAGCATGGTATGTCTCATGCAGCATGGTATGTGTCTCATGCAGCATGGTATGTGTCTCATGCAGCATGGTATGTGTCTCATGCAGCATGGTATATGTCTCATGCAGCATGGTATGTGTCTCATGCAGCATGGTATGTGTCTCATGCAGCATGGTATGTGTCTCATGCAGCATAGTATGTGTCTCATGCAGCATGGTATGCGTCTCATGCAGCATGGTATGTATCTCATGCAGCATAGTATGTGTCACATGCAGCATGGTGTCTCATGCAGCATGGTATGCGTCTCATGCAGCATGGTATGTGTCTCATGCAGCATAGTGTGTGTCACATGCAGCATGGTGTCTCATGCAGCATGGTATGTGTCTCGTGCAGCATGGTATGTGTCTCGTGTAGTATGGTATGTGTCTCGTGCAGCATGACATGTGTCACATGCAACATGGTATGTGTCTCGTGCAGCATAGTATGTGCCACATGCAGCATGGTATGTGTCGTGCAGCATGGTATGTGTCTCATGCAGCATGGTATGTGTCACATGCAACATGGTGTGTCTCATGCGGCATGCTCTGTGTCTCATGCAGCATGGTATGTGTCTCATGCAGCATGGTATGTGTCTCGTGCAGCATAGTATGTGTCTCGTGCAGCATGGTATGTGTCACATGCAACATGGTATGTGTCTCATGCAGCATAATATGTGTCACATGCAGCATGGTATGTCTCATGCGGCATGGTATGTGTCTCGTGCAGCATGGTATGTGTCACATGCAGCATGGTATGTGTCTCGTGCAGCATTATATGTGTCTCATGCAGCAGGGTATGTGCCACATGCAGCATGGTATGTGTCACATGCAGCATGGTATGTGTCACATGCAGCATGGTATGTGTCTCATGTGGCATGGTATGTGTCTCGTGCGGCATGGTATGTGCCACATGCAGCATGGTATGTGTCGCATGCAGCATGGTATGTGTCACATGCAGCATGGTATGTGTCTCATGTGTCATGGTATGTGTCTCATGCAGCATGGTATGTGTCACAAGCAGCATGATATGTGTCACATGCAACATGGTATGTCTCATGCGGCATGGTATGTGTTTCATGCAGCATGGTATGTGTCTCATGCAGCATGGTATGTGTCTCGTGCAGCATAGTATGTGTCTCGTGCAGCATGATATGCGTCTCGTGTAGTATGGTATGTGTCTCATGCATGGTATGTGTCACATGCAACATGGTATGTGTCTCATGCAGCATAGTATGTGTCACATGTAGCATGGTATGTGTCTCATGCAGCATTGTGTCTCAGGCAGCATGGTATATGTCTCGTGCAGCATGGTATGTGCCTCGTGCAGCATGGTATGTGTGTCATGAAGCATAGTATGTGTCTTGTGCAGCATGGTATGTGTCTCATGCAGCATGGTATGTGTCTCATGCAGCATGGTATGTGTCTCATGCAGCATGGTATGGGTCACATGCAGCATGGTATGTGTCTCGTGCAGCATGGTATGTCACATGCAGCATGGTATGTGTCACATGCAGCATGGTATGTGTCTCATGCAGCATGGTATGTGTCTTGTGCAGCATGGTATGTCTCTCGTGCAGCATGGTATGTGTCTCGTGCAGCATGGTGTCTCGTGCTGCATGGTATGTGTCACATGCAGCATGGTGTCTCATGCAGCATGGTATGTGCCTCATGGAGCATGGTATGTGTCTCATGAAGCATGGTATGTGTCTCATGCAGTATGGTATGGGTCTCGTGCAGCATGGTATGTGTCTCATGCAGTACGGTATGTGTCTCATGCAGCATGGTATGTGTCTCGTGGAGCATGGTATGTGCTTCGTGCAGCATGGTATGTGTCTCATGCAGCATGGTATATGTCTTGTGTGGCATGGTATGTGTCTCATGCAACATGGTATGTGTCTCATGCAGTATGGTGTGTGTCTCATACAGCATGTTATGTGTCTTGTGTGGCATGGTATGTGTCTCATGCAACTTGGTATGTGTGTCATGCAGCATGGTATGTGTCTTGTGTGGCATGATATGTGTCTCGTGCAACATAGTATGTGTCATGCAGCATTGTATGTGTCTCATGCAGCATTTTATGTCTCATGCAGCATGGTATGTGTCTCATGCAGCACGGTATGTGATTCATGCAGCATGGTATGTGTCTCATGCAGCACGGTATGTGTCTCATGCAGCATGGTATGTGTCTCATACAGCATGGTATGTGCCACATGCAGCATGGTATGTGTCTCATGCAGCATGGTATGTGTCTCATGCAGCATTGTATGTGTCACATGCAGTATGGTATGTGTCTCATGCAGCATTGTATGTGTCTCATGCAGTATGGTATGTATCTCATGCAGCATGGTATGTGTCTCATGCAGCATGGTATGCGTCTCATGCAGCATGGTATGTGTCTCATGCAGCATGGTATGTCTCATTCAGCATGGTATGTGTCTCATGCAGCATGGTATGTGTCTCATGCAGCATGGTATGTCTCATGCAGCATGGTATGTGTCTCATGCAGCATGGTATGTGTCTCATGCAGCATGGTATGTGTCTCATGCAGCATGGTATGTGTCATGCAGCATGGTATGTGTCTCATGCAGCATGGTGTGTGTCTCATGCAGCATGGTATGTGTCTTATGCAGCATAGTATGTGTCTCATGCAGCATGGTATGCGTCTCATGCAGCATGGTATGTATCTCATGCAGCATAGTATGTGTCACATGCAGCATGGTGTCTCATGCAGCATGGTATGCGTTTCATGCAGCATGGTATGTGTCTCATGCAGCATAGTGTGTGTCACATGCAGCATGGTGTCTCATGCAGCATGGTATGCGTCTCATGCAGCATGATATGTGTCTCATACAGCATAGTATGTGTCACATGCAGCATGGTGTCTCATGCAGCATGGTATGTGTCTCATACAGCATAGGATGTGTCTCATGCAGCATGGCGTCTCATGCAGCATGGTGTCTCATGCAGCATGGTATGCGTCTCATGCAGCATGGTATGCGTCTCATGCAGCATGGTATGTGTCTCATGCGGCATAGTATGTGCCACATGCAGCATGGTGTCTCATGCAGCATGGTATGTGTCTCATACAGCATAGTATGTGTCTCATGCAGCACGGTGTCTCATGCAGCATGGTATGTGTCTCATGCAGCATGGTATATGTCTTATGCAGCATGGTGTCTCATGCAGCATGGTATGCGTCTCATGCAGCATTGTGTCTCATGCAGCGTGGTATGTGTCAGATGCAGCATGGTGTCTCATGCAGCATGGTATGTGTCTCATGCAGCATGGTATGTGTCTCATGCAGCATGGTGTCTCATACAGCATGGTATGTGTCTCATGCAGCATTGGGTCTCATGCAGCATAGTATGTGTCACATGCAGCATGGTATGTGTCTCATGCAGCATGGTATGTGTCTCATGCAGCATGGTATGTGTCTCATGCAGCATGGTGTCTCATGCAGCATGGTGTCTCATGCAGCATGGTATGTGTCTCATGCAGCATAGTATGTGTCACATGCAGCATGGTATGTGTCTCATGCAGCATGGTATGTGTCTCAATCAGCATGGTATGTGTTTCATGCAGCATGGTGTCTCATGCAGCATGGTATGTGTCTCATGCCGCATGGTGTGTGTCTCATACAGCATGGTATGTGTCTCATGCAGCATGGTATGTGTCTCATGCAGCATGGTGTCTCATGCAGCATGGTATGTGTCTCATGCAGCATGGTATGTGTCTCATGCAGCATGGTATGTGTCACATGCAGCATGGTATGTGTCACATGCAGCATGGTATGTGTCTCATGCAGCATGGTATGTGTCACTTGCAGCATGGTATGTGTCACATGCAGCATGGTATGTGTCTCATGCAGCATGGTATGCAGTCCAGTTAACAACCACTACTTGGAGAGAATAAGACACTTTTAATATTTTATAACATTAAGGAAATATTAAAATAGTATAAAATGCAGAATACTGTGGAACCTTGGTTGTCGATCTTATTCATTCCAGATGTCGGTTCGACAACCAGAAAGGTCGACAACCAAACCAATATTTCCCATAAAGAATAATGTAAATAGAATTAATCTGTTCCAGACCAAAAATGACAATATAATTTATTAATAATAACGTACTAATTACTAAATAAAACAATATGTAAAATTAACCAGCACTAGGAAACTGTATAAATGAATACTAAATGAAAATTTAACTGAATAAAAGTAGCTTGAAACTGAGGTCAAAGTAGCAGAAATATTCGATTTTTTGCCATTGTTCAAGAGTCAACAAATCACATCACGTGTCCAATACACGTCAACTGGTGGGTCTGATATGTATTCACGAATGCGCTGATGTTATTTATACAATTATAACAGTTATGAGAAGTCTGAATAACAGTAAATCTTTTATTTTTTGTGTGAGTAAAAAATCAAAATGAAAAGCAAGCGTAATGTAAGAGGGGCCTGGAGATACACATAACATGTTATTTTAGTGCCAGGAATGTCTGCATTGTTTATGCTCTGCCCTGTTTTGAAATTGGCATTTCTTGAATTTTGTGTGAAATTGGCCAAATTAGAAATTTCATCTCACTTTATTGGGCAGTTGAAATAGGTAAATGGGCAGTTTCTTGTATTCAACCGATAAAATAAAAGTAATTCTAGTGAAAAAACTCTGAGTTTTGTCGACGGGAACAATGAAATTGGCCCCAAATAGATCTCAAAGTGGGCGAAATCACCGATGCATAAATGTCGCTGAGACAGCTAACTTTGCGATAGTGTAATTCCATAATTTTTCCATAAAATTTCGTCCTTTTCGTTTCGTTGCCTTCACAAGATGCACAGCAAGAGCTCAAGAGATGTTTACAGCATGCGTGTTAGTCGCTATACTGACAGAGACCCACCCTGTGGACTCTGGTGATAACGTGATCTGAGCATTGTTGGTCGACAACCGAGACCACTTACTAAAACCAGGACCGAAAATCCTTGCTCGGTAACCGATTTGTTAGACAACCAGTTTGTTCGACAATTGAGGTTCCATTGTATAACCCAATTTGCATTTACCTGAAATAACTCAAAAACCAAAATCTTCCTGATGTTATCAAGCAATTATTATTAAATATTAGCCGGTATTCTCCCGGCCCGGGCCTTTTCCAAGTGGTGGCCCGGCCTTGGCTCCCTCTGTAGGGAGTGTCTGAGACCTAAGTCTCCCATGGGAGGAGGCACAAGTACCTCCTCATCTTTGGGACCAACTGTCCCCAGGCCTAGCCACAAGCTAGGCCTCTCTGGTCTGCCATCCCCGCCCCAAGGGAGCAAATGGGAATGACAGTCCTATGAGCTAAAGGCTCGGGCTCAGGCACCTACCCTACCCTAGAAGGGTTAGGCATGGTGTCGATCTATCAAGCAAGTAAATTATCACTTCTTGTGTGTAATTTAATTTCAAGAAATGAATATAAAGGTGAATCAATATTTGCGGCACACAAAGCAATAAATAACATAAGTGATGGCAATTATATGTTTATCTACAGTTTATGTCTGATATTAGTGGTATTATGTGCCAAATAATTTGGTATTATATTTAGCTATTAACAAAGGAATTTTATATACTTTTTAACATATAGATTTTAATTATGTGTACTGTTTAATTTTTAATTTAAAGAATAAAACAATATTATTTAGTGTTATTTTACACTTTTTCCCCTTCGTAAAACAGAATTACTGTACCCCAAAAAAATAATACATTTAATGATACCAGGGGAGAAGAAATCATCTTTGAAAATGGAGAAGTTACCCACCTAGAAAGTTTTCCTCGATGCTGATGACTGGCTCTTGATCCAAGGAACTTGCCCTATCCTCACTGTCCCTGGATTGAAACTGATTGTGAAATGAAGTGGGCACCCTAATTCCTGCCTCGGGTTAAGAGGTCATCATATAAAGCCATAGCGACTATTTTCCAACAGATTAAGTTGGTGTAAAGACAAAGGAAAGGGGAAACTAGAGAGAAAAGGGTTAATTACCTCAAATATTAATAAAAGTTCCACCATCTGCTCTTATTAGTCTGATGACACTAAAGAAAAGAAAATTCCAGCAGAAGGGAGAGAGAGAAGAATTTGGGCTAGAATAGGAAGGTCTAAGAGGTCATAAGATACATCAGAAGTGTAGTGTATAGATAATAGGTAATATCTCTTACAGTTACTGGCCTTCAGGTTGACACAAGCTAAAGAAAGTGCGAATGTGTCTTATCAGATTGACTCTGTAGGATTTATGAACATAGAAATGCAGATAAAACTCCATAGACAACACATACATGACTCAGAATTATGAAAATCATAATATTGACTTTTCCATATGTGTGTGTGTGTGTGTACTCACCTAGCTGAGGTTGCAGGGGTCGAGTCCAGCCTCCTGGCCCCGCCTGTTCACTGGTCGCTACTAGGTCACTCTACCTCAACCGTGAGCTTTATCATACCTCTGCTTAAAGTTATGTATGGATCCTGCCTCCACTACATCGCTTCCCAAACTATAACACTTCCTGACTACTCTGTGTCTGAAGAAATACTTCCTAACATCCCTGTGATTCATCTGTGTCTTCAACCTCCAACTGTGTCCCCTTGTTGCTGTGTCCCATCTCTGGAACATCCTGTCTTTGTCCACCTGTCAATTCCTCTCAGTATTTTGTATGTCATTATCATGCCCCTCCTATCTCTCGTGTCCTCCAGTGTCGTCAGGTTGATTTCTGGGACTAGTCTTGTTGCAAACCTTTGCACTTTCTCTAGTGTCTTTACGTGTTTGGCTAGGTGTGGGTTCCAAACTGGTACCACATACTCCAATATGGGCCTAACGTACACGGTGTACAGGGTCCTGAACGATTCCTTATTAAGATGTCGGAATGCTGTTCTGATGTTTGCTAGGCGCCCATATGCTGCAGCAGTTATTTGGTTGATGTGCGCTTCAGGAGATGTGCCTAGTGTTATACTCACCCCAAGATCTTTTTCCTTGAGTGAGGTATGTAGTCTCTGGCCCCCTAGACTGTATTCCGTCTGCGGTCTTCTTTGCCCTTCCCCAATCTTCATGACTTTGCACTTGGTGGGGTTGAACTCCAGGAGCCAATTGCTGGACCAGGTCTGCAGCCTGTCCAGATCCCTTTGTAGTTCTGCCTGGTCTTCGATCGAATGAATTCTTCTCATCAACTTCACGTCATCTGCAAAAAGGGACACTTCCGAGTCTATTCCTTCCGTCATGTCATTCACAAATACCAGAAACAGCACTGGTCCTAGGACTGACCCCTGTGGAACCCCGCTGGTCACAGGTGCCCACTCTGACACCTCGCCACATACCATTACTCGCTGCTGTCTTTGTGACAAGTATTCCCTGATCCATTGTAGTGCCTTCCCTGTTATCCCTGCTTGGTCCTCCAGTTTTTGCACAAATCTTTTGTGTGGAACTGTGTCAAACGCCTTCTTGCAGTCCAAGAAAATGCAATCCACCCACCCCTCTCTCTCTTGTCTTACTGCTGTCACCATGTCATAGAACTCCAGTAGGTTTGTGACACAGGATTTCCCATCCCTGAAACCATGTTGGCTGCTGTTGATGAGATCATTCCTTTCTAGGTGTTCTACCACTCTTCTCCTGATAATCTTCTCCATGACTTTGCATACTATACATGTCAGTGACACTGGTCTGTAGTTTAGTGCTTCATGTCTGTCTCCTTTTTTAAAGATTGGGACTACATTTGCTGTCTTCCATGCTTCATGCAATCTCCCTATTTCGATAGATGTATTGAATATTGTTGTTAGGGGTACACATAGCGCCTCTGCTCCCTCTCTCAGGACCCATGGAGATATGTTATCCGGCCCCATCGCCTTTGAGGTATCTAGCTCACTCAGAAGCCTCTTCACTTCTTCCTCGGTTGTGTGTACTGTGTCCAGCACTTTATGCTGTACCCTACCTCTCCGTCTTTCTGGAGCCCCTTCTGTCTCCTCTGTGAACACTTCTTTGGATCTCTTGTTGAGTTCCTCACATACTTCACGGTCATTTCTCTCCTCCTTCCTTCCTTAGCCTGATTACCTGGACCTTGACTGTTGTTTTCCTCCTGATGTGGCTGTATAACAGCTTCGGGTCAGATTTGGTTTTTGCTGCTACGTCGTTTTCATATTGTCGTTGGGCCTCCCTTCTTATCTGTGCATATTCATTTCTGGCTGTACGACTGCTCTCCTTATTCTCCTGGGTCCTTTGCCTTCTATATTTCTTCCATTCCCTAGCACACTTGTTTTTGCCTCCCTGCATCTTTGGGTGAACCATGGGCTCATCCTGGCTTTTTCATTATTCCTGTTACTCTTGAGTACAAACCTCTCCTCAGCCTCCTTGCACATTGTTGTGTGTTGCGTGTGTGTGTGTGTGTGTGTGTGTGTGTGTGTGTGTGTGTGTGTGTGTGTGTGTGTGTGTGTGTGTGTGTGTGTGTGTGTGTGTGTGTGTGTACGTTTACTTACCTATTAGTAGTTAAAGGGGTCATGTCACAGCTCCTGGCCCTGCCTCTTCGCTGGTCGCTACTAGGTTCACTCTGCTCCATGAGCTTTATCGTGTCTCTTCTTAAAGCTATGTATAGATCCTGCCTTCACTACATCACTCGCCAGATTGTTCCACTTCCTGACAACTCTAAGGCTGAAAAAATACTTCTAACGTCTCTGTGACTCATCTGAGTCTTCAACTTCAAATTGTGACCCCTTGTTGCTGTGTCCCATCTATCAAACACCCTGTCCCTATCCACCATATCAGCTCCTCTCAGCATATTATATGTCGTTATCATGTCCCCCCATCTCTCCTGTCCTCCTCGTATGACATACCCCATATCTCTGTGACTAGGCTTGTTATAAACCTTTGCATTTTCTCTAATTTCTTGACGTGCATGACAGGGTGTGGGTTCCATACTGGTGCAGAATACTCCAATATGGGCACCTGACGTACACGGTGTACTGTGTACAGAGTCTCGAATGATTCCTAGCTAAGGTAATCGAAACGCCATTCTAAGGTTTGTCATGCGCACATATGCTGCAGCAGTTATTTGGCTGATGTGCACCTCAGGAGATGTTCTCAGTATTATATTCACCTGAAGATCCTTTTCCTTGATTGAGATTTGCTGTCTTTGGCCCCCTAGCCTGTACTCTGCGGTCTTCACTGACCTTCCCCAATCTTCATGACTTTATAATAATATTAATATATTTATTTACTACAAGTACATGTACAAGGTGTACAGTCCTATCTGACATCAATGACATACTACTGTATAGAAAGCCGGGCAAATTAGGTCAGTTTTGTTCCAGGATGCGACCCACACCAGTCGACTAACACCCAGGTACCCATTATTACTGATGGGTGAACATGGACAACCGGTGTAAAGAAACACATCCAGTGTTTCCACCCCTTCACCGGGAATCGAACCCGGATCCTCTCTGTGTGAAGCGAGAGCTTTTGCCACCAGGCCACGGGGCACTGCACCTGATTGAGTTAAAATCCAGGAGCAAGTTGTTGGACCAGGTTTGCAATCTGTCCGGATCCCTTTGTAGTCTTACCTGATCCTCATCCGCTTGGATTTTCCACATTAGCTTCACATCGTCTGCAAACAGGAGCACTTCTGAGTCTGTCCCTTCCATCATGTCATTCAAACATACCAGAAACAGCGCCAGTCCTAGGAATGACCCCTGTGGAACCCCGCTCATCAAAGGCACCCACTCTGACACCTCGTCAAATACCATGTCTCATTGTTGTCTACCTGTCAGGTATTCTCTGATCCATACGTGCCTGCTCCTCCAGCTTTTGCAAGTAAACTTTGGGGCCCAGTCCCTGGACCCATTATGTAACTCTGTAGTCTTTTGACTACCATCCACAGGATGGGTATGGGGTGCATAATAAACATATTAAACTAACTAAGTTTTCCACTAATCTCTTGTGGGGAACCGTGTCAAAAGCCTTCTTACAGTCCAAGAAAATGCAATCTACCCACCTCTCTCTCTCTCTCTCTCTCTCTCTCTCTCTCTCTCTTGCCTTACTGCTGTCACCTTGTTGTAGAACTTCAGTGGGTTTGTGACACAGGATTTCCTTTCCCTGAAACCATGCTGGTTATTGTGAATAATCTCATTCCTTTCTAGGGGCTCCACCAATCTCTTCCATGATTTCAAAAATTATACATGTCAGTGACACTAGTCTGTAGTTCAGTGCTGCGTGTCTGTCTCCTTTCTTAAAAACTGGGACTATATTTGCTGTCTTCCATACCTCAAGTAGTCGCCCTGTTTTGATAGATGTATTGAAGATTATTGTTAGTAGCACACAGAGCGCCTCTGCTCCCTTTCTTAAGACCCACGGAGAGATGTCCGGCCCCATCACCTTTGAGGAATCTAGTTTGCTTCACCTTCTCCTCGGTTGCATGTGTTGTATCTGGCACTTGATGTTGTACCCCACCACTCCAGCTTCCTGGTATCCTTTCTATCTCCACTGAAAATACATCTGAAAATCTCACGTTGAATTCTTTACGTACTTCCTGGTCATTTCTTGTGTGTCAGAGTATGTGAATGGGAGTCAGTGTGGGACTGTATGATAGAATGTGTGTACTCACCTAGTTGAGGTTGCAGGGGTCGAGTCCTAGTTCGTGGCCCCGCCTCTTCACTGGTCGCTACTGGATCAC